GCATAAACAAATCTGAGCCCCGCCTGGTAATACTAGCGTCAAATCTGTATTTTTCCAGTGAAAGACCTCGGGCTCAGAAAGGTTGATTAGCTTTGTATCATATAGCACCACTAAGCTACAGGCCATGCTCTAGAAGGTTCTAGAAGGTTCTAGAAGGTTCATGACTCGCACGCTCTAGAAGGTTCTCCATCACTGCTGTAGGCTGTAAACATAGGTCATGACTGGCCTTAACCGAGTGAGACATGGTTGTCAGAACTGTTCAGAACAATTATTAAAGCAATTCTGTTGGTAGATTTGTGTTTTGTTCTAGTGCCACAGTATCTGAGCTATAGTACCTTTTAAGTCAGTTTGGATATTCAGTAGAATAAACTGTCCAGCTTTGCTTTTTATAATTGTTAAAAATTAAAATCTTCTTTAAAAAAGCTAGACTGAGTGTTCAGAGAAAGCCATATGAATAATGATTCTCTACCAAAGCAGTTTTTAAAAGTCCTGTCCTCATGGAACAGCAGAGCGAGGGTGAGCCGAGCCTGGTACGTCGGTGGACAGGACCAGACCTAAGAATGTGGGTCAGGTTTTACATTGAACACAGCACTGTTTATAAAATGTGCTTAGTAGCTGCTTGGGCACATTTCTTAGCGGTACTTACGCTGGTGACTCCGTGTGCTCCTCAGGTCCGTGTTTCAGTCTTCTCCAGTTGTGTGTCCGGAACCTGGGTAAGCGCTGAAAAGCCGCTTCCCTCTGTGATAAGGGCCTGTCCCCTCCATGAAAATAAGCACTGAATCTAAGTGTTTCTGGGCCAGCGAGACCGATCTTGATTTCTGAGCAGTTCTCTGGACTGCTTGCCGCTCTGTCCTGGATGAGGGCGTGCATCTGAGGACCTCCGCGAGCCAGCTGTGCGTTGAAGAGTGTCAGACTGATGGATTTCTCCTTTGTCTGTTCCCGCAGGCTGGGTCCAGTACTGCTGGCGGGAACGTGCTCTCTGCCTTGCAAGGGGTCTGGAGGTCACAGGGGCTGACAGGGTAAGGACACGAGTGCGCAGCTGCCTTGCCTTCTCCCCAGCTCCTCCTCTTTCGCCCTGCCCTGGGATGAGCACCTTTTCCTTTCCTCTGCTTATGTTCTCGTTTGGCTCCCTTTCTTGGGATTGTACGAAGTGTTTCATTTGATGTCGGATATGTGAGAGAACTCTCGGTGTATGTGGGAATGTTTTGGCCGGGTGCTTCTTGTTCCTGCCCATCTCCATGTTTGATGGTATTCAAACAGGTGTGGCCCTCGCCCGCATCTGCGCTGTGGCATAGACAAAAGAGGTTCTCCGTTTCGAAATGCGGAAATGCCCGCGAGGGAAGGGTGCGTGGTTAGAAGAGCGCTCTTGTGGCTTGGGTGCCATTTGCTATTATTAGCAATAGAGTGAGTGTGCCACAGCCTGCCTTGTGATGAGGATGTGGTCCGTATGGATAGGCGATTTTGTTGCTTTGTTGGCAGTGATTTTGTTATTGTGTGACCATCACAAGTGCGCTTCAACAGACCTGGGCAGGCTAGCCTGCAACACACCCCCAGGCCACGCGGTGTGGCCTGCTGCCCCTAGGCTAAGACCCTGTCTTGCAGGTTACTGTACTGAATGCTGTAGGCAACTCACCTACATCATAAGCGTGGGGACCACCAGAGTGTATGTGGTCGCCTGTCACCCAGATGTTGTATGAGGCGGGTACTACACTTTCAACACGCCACACGCAGGACCCCTCAGTTGACAATAATTGAATGTATTATTGGCTGAGTGCCTCAAAGTTTTAGCTTCCTTCTGCTAAAAGTTCCTCTTCGAGGATTATTCCAGCAGTGCTGTTACAGTATAAATTCACACAGTGTGCGAATGCTGGGATCTTCACGTTAAGGGAAATCACAACTCTCTCTGGAATCTTCTACCTGGGATGGTCCTGTAAGCGCAAAGCAGGGGGCTGTCTTTGGACAGGGCAGGAGGCCTGGAGCCGGGCTGGCTGGGACAGGAGCCGCACCGGGGGGAGGCAGAGCAAAGGCTCCCGTGGGTCTCCAGCCTCCACTTGCTGGTGCTGCCCCTTCCCACCCCGCGCCAGCGTGGGTTTCCTGAGTGCAGTGCTGTGTGCATTCCAGCTGTTGGATAGTCCGGGAACTTAAAGCAGGGAGGTGAGGCCCAGGGCAAGTGTGGGAAGGAGAGCGGCCCCGCGCTGGACTCTGGAAAGCAGGTACCGTCAGGTGCTGACGGGTTGAAACGGGAGTGGGTCTGGTGGGAAGGACTCAGCACGAGAGGGGCACAGGAGTGCCATCTGTGCTGTGCGTCTGCCAGTCGGGGCTGATAGCTGGTGCTGAGGATCTGCTTTCTCATCTCAGAGGCCCGTTCGTTCTGGAACCAAGTTTGCACCGAGCAAAGAAATGGTACGAGGGGAAAATGAGCTGTGACATCATGTGTGTAGTAGCTGGTGAGATCCTGTGTGTTTCAGTGTCACATACACAGAGATTACGTGCAGTGCTTTTTAGATCATAAAGGCACTCCGCCGGATTTCGCTCGTTTCCAGGTAGCTCACGTTACAGTCTGCGGAGACTGCTAGCCAGAACTCTGCTGTTGGCCTTGGCTCTGTGGAGTAGAGGTCACACTGCAGCCCACCTGCCTTGCCCGAGAAGGTGGTAATGGGGGTGGCACGATCCCTGGGCGAAACCAGGGCCTCTCAAAGCTGGTAGAGAATTACCTTGCGTAGATCATGGAAAATCAGTCTTTCCTGGCCCAGGCATGGCGTAGACTTGATGTTATGAAATTAAGCACGGCCAGGACCCTAGGCAGAGGACAGGGCGTGGGAATGAGGCCAGCGGCCTGGCTCTGATCTCCGCCTCCAGTGTTTGCCCTGAAAAGGTAGGCCTTTTCCTTACCTTTTACCAGCCCCTCGGGTCTTGGGCTCTAGCTGGTATGCGCAGGTGGTCCTGAGCAGCGTATTCCAGGCAGAAAGGCTGCCACCTAAGATACGACACTTTCAGTAACTCCCTTGTTAGTATGACGAAAGACAAGGAATTGGACCGAAAGACCAATGAAACAAAGAGCCCTCCGGGCCTGGGCAGCTCTCCTCAGCAGAGGTCCTAGGCGTCCTCCCCCGAGAAGGAGGCTCAGCTTCAGGTGCAGGCACCGAGCCGCTGTTGCCCCCCGACCTCACGCTCCCACACTGCTCCCCAGCAGATAGCGCCACCCGCTTGGTGGCAGACGGTGCCGCCCTCTCATGGGCAGCGCAGGTGGAGACCACGTTGTGTCTCCACGTCAGTTCAGCAGGCAGAGGTTATCTGGCACGTGTGTGGAGTATACGCTTTGGGCAGGCAGGTCTCGCCCTAAAGTCCCGCGTGCCGCTCGGTGCGGCGGTGGAGAGCAGACGGGAAGCCTGTGTGCCCGTGGCTTCTAGATCAGCTTTTCGTTTTTCTTGCCCGTGCCCTTCGGTGGTGTTCACCGGACTGCCGTCCGCCCCGCTTGGCGCCTGGCGCAGTGGGGGTGCTGCACGTCTGCGGTCTCTTCTGACCTGTGGACGCTGGCGCGCACCCTGCCTCCTTCAAGCCTCTGCTTCCAAGCTGGGTTCGGGGTGCTCCCTGCGCAAATTACTGGAAGGCTGCAATTATGTCAGTAGCTCCGGTTGTCATCTAGTAAAACCGTAACTGCCTCCATCTGCCTCTCCCGAGCCGTTGGGCATGTTCGTGGCAAGAGCTGAGTAAGACTGGCTTGTGGAAATACGATAGGAAGAGGGTTTGTGGCCCGCGTGGTCTCCACAGCCCAGTCTCTGCCGCCCCGTTAGCGCCTCGCCTTTATCGGCAGGGCTGGGACGACCAGCCGCCCTGGGGCGGAGAGACTGGCCTCACGGCAGCGATTGACAAGGTTTTGCGCACTGGCCGCTTCACGCAGCAGCCACAAGCCCCAGGCTGAGCTGAACTTTTTTCCTTGAATGTGTATTTTGGTCTTTGGTAGGATTTTCATGTTTACTTTCAGGTAAGAAAAAGAAATTCTTAATTTTTCCGTAATGATTAAAGTTCAGAGCTGGCCAGCCCCGAAGGGCCCCACACACCAATATAGTAACCTCGCGTTCCTCAGGGGTGCCGAGCGCTGCGTGCGAGGGGGCGGAGGGCCGCAGGGACTCCCTTCCCTCCTGCTTCCCCACTCAGCTCCCCACCTCCCCATGCAGGGCTTCGCACGGCCTCAACGTGCACAGCTCCTCGTGGCATCTGCCGCCTTGCAGTTTCCTGCTTCAGCTTTGCCCCGAAGGTAGCGTGTTCGCTGCTCTGCCCGCTAGCTATGACTTGGGACATGGCTTCTACCTACCACGTACCTTCTGGAGAGGTGTTCAGACACTGTGAAAATGTGGACGGGACGGGTCTCCGGGCATGCACAGAAAGCAGGTGTACACAGTAGGCCCCAGCCTCGGCCCCTCAGTGTGCCCCCACGTGGACTTGCTTTGAAACCTGTGCTGTGAATGCAGGCTGTGGGTGCCCGTGTCCTGCTGCTGCCGGCTCGTCAGCTAGCTTTGCTCCGGGCCATGCAGGTGACCAGGGTCACGTGCGGCTTTCCGTGCGTCCGCAGTCACCGTGAACATGTGTGAACGCAGACGTGCGCGCAGCCAGAAGCGGGTGTGCTGCCAGGGCCGCTCTCCTCACCGGGCTCCGGGCTGCGCCTGGGCTGTGTAGCCACCCTGTGCCCACTTGCCTCAGTCCTACTTTGTCTGAGAAAGGAAACAAGGATCCATGGAGACTTGGTTCCTCCTCGTGGCATCCCATTTGTGGGGTTCTGAGGACAGAATGTGACGGAGACCCTGGCAGGAGCATCAGTTACCCGAAAGCCTGCCCGGCCCTCCGGGCTCACTCCTGGGACCCTCCCACCCTACGGGATCCAGCCCTTTGCCTCCTGTCAGGCCGTGGAGCTGCAGTGTGGGTGGTTGAGCAAGCTGTGGGTATTAAAGCGTCACCTTTTACACACAGTCTAACAAAAGCCCAAACTCTTCTTCCCGTAGGTTATTCGCAGGCGTCTTCCCGCGGATGGCCGCCATCAGCCTGGGGGGTTTCATCTTCCTGGGTGCTTATGACCAAGCCCGCAGCGTGCTGTCCAGAGCGGGCAGACAGAGTCGGTGAGGCCGAGCGGCACACGCGCTTCCCTGAGGAAAGGGGACTGCGCGAGAACGCCGCCGCCATCGCCCACCGGGGCTGCAACCTCCAGAGCGCTCGGGCCAGAGGCTGCCTGCAGTTAGGTCGTCGCCGGCCGCGGCCAGAACAAGGAAACCGCGTCCGTGGAAGAAGTCTGAACGGTCTTCTCGGAATCTCTCAATAAATAAGTTGGGTGATGCCGAGGCCCAGCCCTTCGGAGCTGTCATTTAACCTGATCTCCCATTTCCTGCCACCTGACGGCGGACACAGCAGAAGGCAGGACAGTTACAATTGTAAAGCAAGGGCTACACAAGGCGAAGGGCGGGCGGAGACGTACAGCGAAACGCTGCATGTGGCGCTTTCTCCCCTGGGTAAATTCTTACTGTGTAAGGGTTCAGCTTTGTTTGAAGAGCATGAGCTGCAGGTGCATAGCCAGCATTCCTTCTGCAGCCACCATGCTGCTGTCAGTTATTTCACTGTAAGGACACGTGGTGGTCTTGCACAGAGCCGCGCCGGTGGCAGCCCGGTGGCCTCGGGAAGCAGAGCCCCGCGCTCCCTGGCGGGCTGACGGAAGCCTGGGCGCCGCTTCTCCCAGGGTGTGTGGCCTGGAGTCACAAGTTCACCCCGGAAGCAGAACGGAAGAGGCTGCAAGGTCAGCGTGCTTTGGGATTTGAGGGCCTGACTGACAAGGCCCAGGGTAGCCGAGTACGGCAAGGCATCCGAGGCAACTCGCAGTGGTGTCCTCCTTGTAGCAGCAGTGCGCAGTGCCGCTTCACCTAAGGGTTTTGTCCTTTTGAGGAAAAAATATTAAAAGCAGAATGACTTCATTTTGGGCCGGGGATTTAGCTCAGTGGGATAAGCGCCTGCCTGGCAAGCGCAAGGTCCTGAGTTCGATTCCCAGTACCAAAAAAATGTAAAAATTAGAAACTAAATAAAATAATGACTTCATTTACAACAGAAAGAATGACCCCCGCCATACGCTGGACATTTATAAAGGAACCTTTATTAAAGACACTTCAATGCCACTTGTTAGACACTCCAATATTTTACATGTTTGTAAATGTACACTGTACCAAAATTCCTATAAATAAATAACTTTGTACATAAAAGTAACACTTCCTCTTTCACATTGCCTCTCAGAAGCAGCAAATTCACATATTTTATGGAAGTAACATTAGTTAACTTGAGAACAAAACTCGAAATGTGCTTACCTTTGGAACAGTGATGACCTCTGACAGTAAAATTCAACACAGGTAACCATTTTGTCAACACCTCCCTTCAGCATTTGGCTAAAGAAACTTGCTCTCTGAGATTTTAAAGACCTTGCTTGTTTCAAGGTAATTTTTACTGAATTACACGTTGGCACTCACAAGATGGTTAGCTACAGGTCTCAAAAGTGCAAATATACCCGGGTCTGGGGCTAAATCTTGTACAGTCCAAGCCCAGATCCATGTGTGCGAGGGAAAAGGTGTGGAGAGGCCTGCTCTGGCTCTTCAGTAGAAATAAGCTAGCCCTGAAAAGTGAGAACTTTATCCTTTTCATCCTCTCATGTAATATATTGGCAGAACTAAAACATCACTATTGAAAAAAATCCACAGGTACCAAACACCAGCAGCCTTTGCCTTAATAAAAAGCTTCAAAAACAATCCGAGGAGCCACACAAGACCACATTTGCTCTTACCGTAAAGTGAGCGTCAGAGGAGGAGGAAAGGCAGTGCTTGTTGTGGAGAAGAGTTCTCCCCCTCAGAAGGAACTCAGACCTACGGTGAGGAGCGACTCCGCAGAGCTGCGTGGCTTGCGCACGACACGGGCGGTCGGACTGTGACACAGGAAGCCAAGGACCTCGCTCCTCCCAACCCACCAGAGGTGCTGGGGAGCACATGTGGTTTGCACCCAAGTTCCAGCTATGCATTAAGGCACCAGAACCACTCCCCACCCCCTCAATGAAACAGCAACCTGATATGAAAATAATATTGTCAAAATTGTTTAAGTCTTTTGTTAACCATGCACTAAAAGATTAAAATAGCCTCTGTAAAAGATATATAATATATATGAAATCTCTGAAAACTCTTATGTACAATGGTATCAAATACTTTTTCTGCCTTTTGTACACAAATAGCCTCTTGCATTTCTGCGCTTCAGATGCAAGTCCTGTGACTGGTATTCCCACGGAGTTAAGATACGTACAGCTCGGCGGCGCTCTGGCCCAGCTTCCGCAGTCTCTCCAACGGTACGACAAGAGCTGAGGTAGACGAAGCCTAGCTTCTTGGTGCCAACAGCAGTGGTCCCCTCCACTTCCTAGGGAGCTGTCCTGTGAGCGGCGTGGATTCGGGACCAGAGTCACATGCTGTGGGGAGGTGGCCATTGGAAACAAGCAAGTGCTGGGCTTCTGGGAGCTCCGGGCTGCCTGAAGGTAATGGAGGCGGAGGCTGCTGGTCTGTGGGCTCCGATTCATACAGTCGCGCTAAAGTCCAAGCTGAATCCCCTACGAGAAAAGGCAGGCAACATCAGACCCCCGTCTGACCACTGAAGCGGCTCTAACCCACCTGCTAGAGACGCCTCAGGAGACAGAAGTTACCTTTTCCATCTAGAGACGCCACTGGCTTTCTCTTCAAGGATGGCAGCATTCTGTCATGGTTACTGGGGTACACCGAACCCCTGCAGTCGGTGCACGACACCTCAGTAGTCCCACTGTGAGGGTGCTGTGCACAGTGTCCTCGGTGACTCTGACCAGGCTCCTGCTTCCCGCCTGTGCTTGACTGTGCGCTGTCTCTGGACACAGGCTGAGGACAGGGGGCCTGTTCCTTAGAGTAGCTGTCCGTGTCAGCGTTGCAGTCACTGCATACAACGGGGCCACTGTGTTCTGAAGGACGGAGCAAAGACAGAACCACCGTCATCCCGGAAGCCCCCACCCCACACAAGGCACACGCCACATCCCTCCCCCAGCTGTGGAAAGGCGAGCACGGTGTTTACATCGCCGAATACGCCCTGCGTGTACATGCTCTCCCTCCCGAAGCGTGCTCGCAGAAAAGGGCCTGCTAGTGAACTCAACGTTCCAGATGTGGTTTTGTACATAGAGAATGTCGTCATACTACTTTTGATTACAAAGGGGAAAACCATGGTACGGAATTCACACGAGGCTGAGAGTCTTCTGAACAATGAGAAATCTAGCCTCAAGATATCCCTGGTGAGAAAAGCATCAGAACTCTGCATTTTGGGGGGTCTTGCCCCTTACGTTGCTTATAAATTTTAGAAAATTCATGCTCAGGCTTAGTATCCCACAGATGTATCGATGAGGAACAGTATTCTAGAATTAAAAGGGAGCTAGACTGGAGCTTCTTGTTCCTGTACTGAATAAATTCCGAGACAGGACTAGACCAGTAATGCGTCTCTTCCTTTCGTATAGTGAGCGTAGCAGCCAAAATCTGGATTTCGAAAGCAAACTACTTTTTCCTACCCGTCTTAGGTGGACCAGGTGTCCCACTGGCTTTCTCCATCACCTTCCAGGGCTCTTTAATATATCCCACCGAGAGCTTGGGCTGCCTGCACGTGATGGCGTGAACGTCGGCCTCTGAAAAGAGGCTTGTGTCTCTCAGGCAAACACCTGCAATGGATTCTCCCAGTCAGAAACAGTGCTCGGCGCTTCTAGGTAAGCCTTACCGAGGGAACGAACGGGCAGGGATACTGAAACAGCCTTGTTTTAAGAATCTGCTCTTGAGGGGTGGATTACATGCCCCCAAGAAGTCCGGCAAGGAGCATGTTTTCTGATTATACCCTCCTAGCAGGCAGGCCCTTCAGCATTTGGAGCCAGGTGAAAGAAGTTTTCACGGGGATAAACCTTTGTGGCCCCAGGCAAGTGCCGAGCATCTCCCACTACCTGAAGCTGCTCCCCTGTCCAGGACTTTCTGTGAGACTAGAACAGAGCAGACCCGGGTATTTCCCTCTATTGTCATCCCTTGGCATTCACAAGGAGTTGGTCCCAGGGCCCCAGCAAAAGCCAGAGCTGCTCCAGGGTGTGATAGAAAAAAACACAGTGTCTGCAGAGGGTGTACGGGCGTCGTCGCATCCCTGTAAGTCACCTCTGGATTACTCACAACACCCAGTGAAGTGCGGTGCTGTGTGAACAGCTGCCACACTGTGTGAGAACGACAAGAAAACAGTCTATGTGCTAAGTACAGCGCTCTTTTCCTGAGTGTTTCGTTCTGTGCACGACTGGATCCATGCATATGAAGGGGACTGCACAAGCAGGGTGTTGGTTCCAAGACCTGAATGTCCTTTGTAGCTACTGCTCCCACCGGTCCTACCTTATTCTGACAGACAGCACTAAGCCCAGGTAGGGACCAAGAGAAGCCATCTGCCGCGCGGCCTTCCAGCTTACCTGCGTGCCCCCTCCCCGGGGCCTGCCCTGGGGCCACAATCCCCTCGGACCTCTGCTTCACTGTTCTTGAGGCCTTACCGTTGCTTTCAGTATGCCTGCTGGCCTGCTGGCCGCCCTCTGTCCTGACCACAGCCTCCTGCCGGTCAGAAAGAGTCCCCTGAGAAGAGAGGTAGCTCGGAACATCTGGTGGCACAATGGTTTCATCTGCAAGGAGACAAGAGCACGAAACACTAAGGCCACAGCGACGGCAGGTGCAGAGATACAGTCATTCAGTCCCGGGCACAAGACGGCTCCGTCAGTAGCCATCCTCGGTGCAGAGATGTTGTGCAGTCAGTGCAGACGAGAACTGCCACCGCCTCCCACCACGACGGAGAAGAGAGACGGCTCACAGAGGCACACCGCCGTGAGGTTGGAGGGCCCATGTGACATGGGCGACGTGCCTAGGATGCCTGAGTTACGAGAGTCATCCGCCAGGCACGTGTATTCAACAGTACTCTCACCTCACGTACATGCTAGAGTTAGCATGGTGCCAGTGGCTTAACGCCTCAGCTGTCCAGAACGCTCTTCCCAAAGAGCCTGGGGTTCTGAGCACGCTCAGGTCTCTGACCGACCCTCCGGATCTGGCCTCACGGTCACTGCTGCCCTGCCTCCCCTGCAAGCGAGCTCCGGCCGCAGGGCCCAACCTGTGTTGGTGACACTGTACTCCTCGCTCTTCCTCCTGGTCTGGTAGATGATGCACACCCAGACCAGAGACGTCAGGACGACGCTGCACACCACCGCGATGGTGAAGATGCCCACAGTGGTCCCGTCCTTCCTGCAGCCCGGG